CTGTTGTGCCGGCTGACTCGGGATGGCAGAGCTGCTATGGTAGCCAGGTTCAGGTAGATGGGGACAGCTGTCTGTGGGGTTGGGGCTTAAAGAACTCAGACCTCCCTTCCATACCTGGAGACAAACAGAAAAAAAATATCAGACACAACCAACACATTCCTGCCATAAAAAGAACCGTGCCAAGCAGTGTTTGTATCTAAAATGGCAATAAAACATTTACGGCTGATGTGGTCCCCAGGCTTCTAACAGTCAGGAAGATATGGAAGAATTCGGACCTGTATGTGGCCTCTCCCTCCTCCAGTCATAGCAGACTAGGTTAGAATTAGAGCAGGAAACAAAGACCGGCATCCTTGATCTAGGCCCTGTGTTACTGTACTCTGGGTAAGCTTTGTTGTCAGCATATTTCAGTGGTGGGGAAAGCACAGACAATATATTTAGGTCCACAAATTGGTTCCATCATGGTAGAAATAAGAAGCAATTCCAAGGAACAGGTGAAAGCAAACCGTGAGCTGCTATTTCTATCCAATAAACATGTTTAACAGAACAGTTACCGTAAAGCCGAGTAATGTAACACAATTCGGCAAGAATCCAGAGAGCACCTCACAGGGTCACCGAGAATATACTTCCAGAGGTCTGACATCTCTCCTCTCTGCTTCCTAGAACACCAATCACATTCCCATTTTGGACATTTATTTTTCTTTGATCAGGCTTTCTGTATGTTAGAAACAGGTTTAGCTTTACATTGTGTGTTTGGGAAGTTTTCCAGATCACGAATTAAAGGGAAAGGGTGGAGAAATACCTGGATGAGAAACCAAAGTACCCAGCAAGTAGTTGTGCTCCATCTATGCATTTCAATATAGGCCGCAAGAGGGGAGACTTAAAGTGTTACTAAACCCACAACAGTACAATCAGTCTGTATATGCAGGAAAGCATGCTTGTTATACTCACTGTGGGACCTAAGGGGTTAATCCTCTGCATTGTGTATAGATGCAGTTTGATCCTGACTTTTCTGATACACCCCTTCTTCCAGTGTCCCCATCTTATCTCCTGATAAGACATATCATGTGGAGACACTCTGCACATATGCTCAGTTTGGTGTGTATTGCTAAAGAGGTTTTATTTTTTCTTGGGAGATTGCATGTGATCAGCACAGGGCCAATCAGCACTGTCCAGACAGAGGTCAGGGGTTCTGCATCTTCCTAGAGCAGAAAGAAATCTCCTCCTACAGGCTTTAACCAGTGCTCTGCTGGACACTGATAGAAGTCACAAGACTGCTCGAACTGCTGATGAGAAAAGATATTAAGCAATTTATATTTACTAAAATAATTGCACTTCCATGTTGTGTGTACTGTGGGAGAGCAGATATAGTGAATGCGGGGTCCGGGGGAGAGCGGATAGAGTGAATGCGGGGTCCGGGGGAGAGCGGATAGAGTGAATGCGGGGTCCGGGGGAGAGAGCGGATAAAGTGAATGCGGGGTCCGGGGAGAGCGGATAGAGTGAATGCGGGGTCCGGGGGGATAGAGCGGATAGAGTGAATGCGGGGTCCGGGGGAGAGCGGATAGAGTGAATGCGGGGTCCGGGGGAGAGCGGATAGAGTGAATGCGGGGTCCGGGGGAGAGCGGATAGAGTGAATGCGGGGTCCGGGGGAGAGCGGATAGAGTGAATGCGGGGTCCGGGGGAGAGCGGATAGAGTGAATGCGGGGTCCGGGGGAGAGCGGATAGAGTGAATGCGGGGTCCGAGGGAGAGCGGATAGAGTGAATGCGGGGTCCGAGGGAGAGCGGATAGAGTGAATGCGGGGTCCGAGGGAGAGCGGATAGAGTGAATGCGGGGTCCGAGGGAGAGCGGATAGAGTGAATGCGGGGTCCGAGGGAGAGCGGATAGAGTGAATGCGGGGTCCGAGGGAGAGCGGATAGAGTGAATGCGGGGTCCGAGGGAGAGCGGATAGAGTGAATGCGGGGTCCGAGGGAGAGCGGATAGAGTGAATGCGGGGTCCGAGGGAGAGCGGATAGAGTGAATGCGGGGTCCGAGGAGAGCGGATATAGAGTGAATGCGGGGTCCGAGGGAGAGCGGATAGAGTGAATGCGGGGTCCGAGGGAGAGCGGATAGAGTGAATGCGGGGTCCGGGGGAGAGCGGATAGAGTGAATGCGGGGTCCGGGGGAGAGCGGATAGAGTGAATGCGGGGTCCGGGGGAGAGCGGATAGAGTGAATGCGGGGTCCGGGGAAGAGCGGATAGAGTGAATGCGGGGTCCGGGGGAGAGCGGATAGAGTGAATGCGGGGTCCGGGGAGAGCGGATAGAGTGAATGCGGGGTCCGGGGAGAGCGGATAGAGTGAATGTGGGGTCGTTAACACTTTAACGAGTGCATCATTTCAGACAGCAATGGGCATGGTGGCTCTGTAATAGAGGTTCAGCAACCATACAGTAATAGGAAGCATTTGTGAATCACAGCCACACCATTTTCTCAGTAGTCTTCTTTTTACATTAGTAAACCCCTCCCTGTAAGCCAGGGCTGTGCACATCTTGGGAGTCCGATAGCCTAGATGAGGTGTGCATTACTTTGCTTCCTGAAAACACAGCAAATGTCATCAGCCCAGATTTGTACTCAAAGACGAAACTTGGAACCTATGTGCAGCTACACCAAGGCCCCGCTGCTGTCTGCAAGCCAAAGAATAACCTCAGTGATGTACAGATCATTTGGGAACCAAGTTGGTAATTTTGTCAACATCCAGCATCCCTTGGGCACTCACCTTGTAATAGCTTACTATTAGGAATTACATCAGTCTAGTCGCTTTAATTTTAAGTTTTCCTTAAAAATATATTTTACTAGATCCTTAAAGGGGCTCTAAACCCTTAAGGTTTTGTACCTTAAGGCTGGCCATACATTATACAATTATCTGGGGATTTTTGGTTTAGATTTACCAAAAACCATATAATAGGAGGACAAACCTAAACAAGACTTTCAGTTGTATCCATTTAGGCAGGCCCTTGCACTACATAGTTGAAGGTAAATCTAAAGGAAATTGGGCAGAAAATTGGAAGATAATTGTATAATGTATGGCCAGCCTAAGGCTCATTCACACCATGGTGCAGAGCCGTCAGTTTTTCTGCATGCGTTCTGCAAGCGCACAAAAAAAATAATTGTTCTCTGTGTTCACACCACAACACATGCAGATTTTTTTTCTGCTCAGGAATCTGCAATGTTAAAAAAATTATTGTAGCGCGCATGAAAATGGATGCCTCTGCAAGTGAAATCTCTGTGTCAGTTTTACATACAGTTTGTCTGCACGTATGGTGTGAACGAGGCCTTGATGCACTCTCAGCATTAAGTTAAGAAACCTTCTGTGCTGCAGGATCCCCCCCCACATGCTTACCTGAGACCCGATCTCAATCCAGCCTTGTACACAAGAGCAGCGGCTCTCTCCCTCCTCAAAGGGCAGATTGATAGAAGTGGGAGCCACTGGTTCCTGCTGCTGTCATTAAAATTCTAGAATGCGGGGCGAAACCCAGCTGTCTCTGTCAATGGATGCAGGCAACAGGGCTCAGGAGCAAGCCTGCAAGAGTACCCTCCTTAGCATGCAGCTTGCTAGGAGGGTTACTTGGAAGGGGGTAGGAGCAAGAAGACATGAACTGAAGCTTCTGGGTTTCATTTTTTGCCCTCTGCCAAGTAAGCAACTCATGTACTGACTGAAGCATGCAGTCTGGGGATTATTCTGGAACAAAAGCAATTATTTATATATATTATATATCACACAAAACTATAGGAAACATATAGACATACCGCATGATTTTTTGCGCTAAAATAGCTTGTGCAGCATTTATCTGAAAAGTAGTCAGTTCACTACAAAAAAAAAAAAAGTTATTTATGGAAAATTGAGCTTTATTTTTGGCGTTTTTTGCCATTTTGTTTTTACATGCCAGCCCTGCACCAGAGGAAGAAATAAAGGCAGAGATATTATGAAGACATTCTAGTGTGCTTTCATTCACAGAACGCTCTCCCTCCGGTGAAGTGTTACAATTTATGTCCATTCCTGAGCTCACAGCACAACATTTCCACACTGATGCATTGTGTACTTTTAGCTTACTGGCTACAGCAATGTTCCCCTCATTGTTATTTTGTACATTGCTAAAATACCGACTGCCTACTGCTGGGGCAGGCAAACCCCTGGCACGGGGGCCACGTGAAGGCCCTTTTGCTGGCACGCAACTCCCTGACGGGGAGGCATTGTGCCCCCACACATTGTACAAGACGGGAAATATGGTTTTGTTCTCCATCTTTGCTGTAACTGCAATTATCACTCGCAGCCGCAGCAAAGATTCATCCAGCTCTTGTGATGGGGAAGAGATTGCGGATCTGCTAGGAAAGGGGGGGTGGTGGTACCTGTTTCCAGGAAGAGGAAGCCTGCGATTGGCCACTGCCGTCTGTCTGTCGCCCCACCCAACTCTTTGTGCACTACTACTACCAGGGGCAGACTGACCATTTGGAAACTCGGGCGCTGCCTGAGGGCCCGGGGTCAGTAGGGGGCCCCATGAGATGCCCCTGGTACCTTTTTCATAGGCTTTTTTTAGTTTGGGCAAGGACATAGGGGCCCCATGATCCCCTATTGCCCGGGGGCCCCATGAGTTGTCAGTCCGCCCCTGACTACTACTATCACCAACTCCCTGAAGCTCTGCCTCCCTTACTCCTGAACCTTTGTGTCACTTCCTACTGAACCCCTGCACTCTACATTCCTTTCAGCCACAGCTAGTATTCAGACCAATGAAAATCACACCGAACGTTTGCTGCGGCGCGCAGCGTGCCACATGCTTTCCTAGCTGGGAGGGCCCAAACTTAAGACCCCGCACACAGGCCCACTGCTCTCAGGACACACCCCTGACTTGATCTCATCACTGCGTGTCTATTCCAAATGATTGTATGTGACATCACATACAAGCACCTGGCTGGATGTGAGAGGCGGATCAACGGGGATGAGTGTACCAGGACAGGTAGCTATGCCTCATCTCTGCTTCCCTGCACTGCTCCGCATATTGTGCATTTCATAGATGAGAAGAGGGTACAGCAGAAGGGAAGAACAGGCGGGTGCAGAGGCTGGGCAGATGTGCAAGGGGGGTACACTGATGGGAGCAGGGGCGGACTAACCATTCAAGAACTCAGGAATTCCCCAGCGTGGGGTCAGTAGGGGGCCCCATGAGATACCTTTCATAGGCTTTTTTGGGTGTGGTTTGAGTGTGGGCGAGGACACAGGGGCCCCATGATCCCCTATTGCCTGGGGCCCCATGCGTTGTCAGTCCGCCCCTGGGTGGGAGAGATGAGAAGGAGGGGTCAGCAATGGGACAAAAGAGCAGGAGGACAGGACGTTCTTGTCCCACTACCAGGACATAGTGCTGTACACCGTATGTAGAGGAGGCTACATACACTCAATACAGAGGGCCCAGCAGACCACCTGTTCGTGCAGTAAATAGTTTTTCGGGGCAGATTGGCCCAAACAAACTAAAAGGAACAATAATGCAACGTTAGTCTAGATTTCTGCATACTATTTATTTTGACTAATTCCACAGGCTGAAAACAGATAAAACATTTTGCAACAGTCAGCTGTACAAGGTCCACAAAGTCTTCTAGTAATAATAAACTGGTAAGATTAGAAATCAGGCTAGACAGCTCCTTGAAGAATCACCTTTGACTCTGTGCAGCAGGATTTTGATTCAAGTCCAAATATTATGCAGCCAGAAAGGCTGGCATGCCTGTGGTTGGCAGGACAGATGGTGTTATATGTGTGCAGACATTCCAGGAGAGGTTATAGGATACATGGAGCCTCTTCCTGCCTGCCATATCCTCTAGTGGGCAGAACAACACTTTCCTTTTGTATCTTCTATGGTGCGATGTACTATGTATATATATATTTATTAGAGTAGCTTCTGTACAAAGTCTTCCTATGACTTCATACAGGATTGTCTTAGGCTTGGTTCACATCTGTGCCGTTGTGGGACCCGAACACAGAGGAATGCGGACTCCCGGGTGGGTGCCATTAATTCTAATGGCACGCCGCCTGCACTGGAAATCACAACCGTACTGGGAACCTCAGTTCCCGTGCGGGCTGCAATTTCCGAAGAAGTGCAGGGACTTCTTTCCCTGCGTATCCCGGGGCACGGGAGTCCATTCAAATGAATGGGCTCTTCTGCCCGCGCAAATCTTGGGCCGCACAGATGTGAACCTGGCCTAAAACATGAACTCTAGATATGGTATATTATTACACTGGCCCAGGTAGACTGCGCTTTGCAGTCATTCAGAAATTTTGAAGCCGCCTCTGAATGGTCCCTGTGCTGAGCAACCGACCTCCTGTGTTCACAATACAGCAGGGCAGCACGGGATCCAGAAGCTAGTAGAGATGACTGGTGTGGCAGTGTGTACTTGAGTGATTTCCAGCTTCCAGGGGCAGCAGCCAGGTATAGTACATACATAGTTACATTGTTCCAGCTTGGATCAGTTTCACTATGTATGAAATATCCATACCTGGAATGCATTTTTAAGGCCATTTGGCATGTCTGGCTTCATTGCGTCTCAATTCACAGTACAAGTATTCCATAAATGAAGTTCAGAATTCCTCATCCTTAAGCCTCGTGCACACGAATGATCGTCCCTTTGTTTTCTTTCTTCTGCATGCTAGTCTCCATATTAAAAATGAGGAGTTTACTCAACGAACGAACATTCTCGGAGAGAAAATAATTCCGGAAGTGACGTAGTGCATTGTATTGCACTTTCAGAAGAAAACTGTACTGATTAAGTGAAAAGAAGACTTGGTATTGTACGAGAAACATTTCCGTGTTTGCCTCTTCACATGAACGGTCGTGATTGGCTATCAAAAGCGGAGTACTAATGATCAGATTATTGGAGGATTACTTCAAAAAGTGGTATTTTCTGTATGATTTTCTGATCAATGTAATTGATCAGTGACTCCAAAAGTGGTGAAGCCTTTGAATCTGCGTAACAGCCAGGCAACTATTATTCGCAAGGTGAGCATTGGTAGCCTATTACCGGTTTCCTTTGATAGACGGTGTCTGCAGGTTTGTATTAAATAGAGTTGTATAATGTAGAATAATTAGAAATATTGTTTTCTCTATACAATACAAATCTTCCTAATGAATATCTTACATTTACACTCCACACACCCCGGGGAATTAATGGGGGCACACATTGCCATTATCACATCAGGAAAACAAGCAAGGCTTTGACACAAATGTGAAAAATAGGCAGCTCAATTGAAGTCTACACAACACCAATCACTTGGATCACAGCTACCGGGAGAACTGTGGGTATTTCATATCATTAGAGACTGCAGAGTCATTTTTTTTTAGACAGATCCTATCTGGAGGCAGTTTTATGTATGAGTAAATATGACTTCCTTCATGTCCATATGTCATTACAAACCACAGATACAAGAATACCATTTAGGTCTTGTTCACACCATGCGTGCAGAAAAACTGATGGAAAGTTCTCCCCTGACTTCTCCATCAAGATCAATAACACAACCATCAGTCCCTCCCTTATGCCCAGGTACCAAGTGTAATCCTGTCACAGTGTGAGGAAAGTACTGCCGATAACTGGCAAATGTGACAGAGGTGATCTGCACTGATTATCACTGCCACCCTGCAAAGACACCCATCAGTGCCCAGTAGTGCTGCCCATCATTGCTGCATATCATCAGTGCCTCCTCATCAATGCCGCCAATCAGTGCTGCCTATCAGTGCCTCCTCATCAATCCCGCCTATCAGTGCCGCCTCATCAATCCCGCCTATCAGTGCCGCCTCATCAATCCCGCCTATCAGTGCCGCCTATCAGTGCCGCCTCAGGGCCGCCTCAATCCAGTGCCTCATCAACACACATCAGTGAAGGAGGAAAAAAATTACTGGTTTGCAAAATTTTATAATAGAAAACAAAGAAAACCTTTTTTTTTTGGTTTTCAAATGTTTTGCTCTCTCTTTGTTTATAGTGCAAAAAAATGAGCTCTATGTGTGTGAGAAAATGATAAATATGTCATATGGGTACAGTGTTGCATGACCGCGCAATTTTCATTCAAAGTGCGACAACACTGAAAGCTGGAAATTGTCCTGGGCAGGAACGGGGGGGAAAGTGCCCGCTAGGGAAGTGGTTCAGAAAGCACTCCGTCATTGTCAGGCCTGAGCCTTCCCAGTGTGGATGGTGGGGTATGGCTGAATTCCAGTAGAGGTAGGGGGACAGCACGTGTTGTCCCCCTCATCACACTGACATGTCACGCAACAGGCTGGGCTGCATTTCTAAGCTCTCTCTATGCTGGTAGGTGTGATGGAGGCCTCTGCCACAACACACTCTGACTACACAGAACATGGCCATCTCTCCATCAGCTGAGCCTAGAACTAGAGGCAGAGTAAGGGAGGGGATGACCCCTGCACATGTGTTCTTTGCCATCTGTGTCCCTATTGGGGAGATTTCCCTTCACCTCCTGTCCCATATCTAAAACAGGAAGTGAGAGGAAATCCTTCTAAAGTGAGGCGATCCCTGGCTGTCACTAGGACTGGTGTCCCCATTGGAAGATTTACCCTGTATTCATGTTCTGTGACAAGCACAATTTGTGATTTTCTTTCACTGATAATGGTAAACAGGACAAATAGAGGGGGATCTCCCTAACGGGGGCACAGACTGGAATGGCACACCATACAGGGCTCTAACGGGGGCACAGACAGGAATGACACACCATACAGGGCTCTAACGGGGGCACACAGGAATGGCAACAGGGGCACACAGGAATGGCACACCATACAGGGCTCTAACGGGGGCACACAGGAATGGCACACCATACAGGGCTCTAACAGGGGCACACAGGAATGGCACACCATACAGGGCTCTAACGGGGGCACACAGGAATGGCACACCATACAGGGCTCTAACGGGGGCACACAGGAATGGCACACCATACAGGGCTCTAACGGGGGCACACAGGAATGGCACACCATACAGGGCTCTAACGGGGGCACACAGGAATGGCACACCATATACAGGGCTCTAACGGGGGCACAGACAGGAATGACACACCATACAGGGCTCTAACGGGGACACACAGGAATGGCACACCATACAGGGCTCTAACGGGGGCACACACAGGAATGGCACACCATGCAGGGCTCTAACGGGGGCACACAGGAATGGCACACCATACAGGGCTCTAACGGGGGCACACAGGAATGGCACACCATACAGGGCTCTAACGGGGGGCACACAGGGCTCTAACGGGGGCACACCCATACAGGGCTCTAACGGGGGCACACAGGAATGGCACACCATACAGGGCTCTAACGGGGGCACACAGGAATGGCACACCATATACAGGGCTCTAACGGGGGCACAGACAGGAATGACACACCATACAGGGCTCTAACGGGGGCACACAGGAATGACACACCATACAGGGCTCTAACGGGGGCACACAGGAATGGCACACAGGAATGGCACACCATACAGGGCTCTAACGGGGGCACACACAGGAATGGCACACCATACAGGGCTCTAACGGGGGGAATGGCACACAGGAATGGCACACCATACAGGGCTCTAACGGGGCACACACAGGAATGGCACACCATGCAGGGCTCTAACGGGGGGGGACACACAGGAATGGCACACCATGCAGGGCTCTACTCCCTCTCCTCCCTCCTCTTCATCCACAACTAACACAAATACCTTTTAGGTAGATTATAAAACCTTCCCAAAATTCTTCTACAGAGCCATCCAATGAGAGCAGAGGGGGCGTGTCCTGGATGCTGCCCTATTAGGTAAACAAGCAGCCAACCAGAGCAGTGGGGGGTGTGTCCTGGCCAATTGCCCTGGGTTACGGCTGTAGTGAGTAAGCAGAGGCCTGTAGTTAGTGTGCTCACCTCCTCGGTGACTCGGGGCTGCAGCTTCCCCCTCACTTCGGCCCACAGCAGGCGCTGCAGGTTCGGCAGTTGTCCCAGGATAAGGATGGGCCTGGTCTGTGGGTCACCATCCCCGGCGCTCGCCTTGAACTCCAGCCGTACATTGGCCATGTCACAGCCGACAATATCCCTTCCACCGCCGTACCAAACCTCGCTGTCAGTCTCAGCTCCGCCCTCCCGCACAGCAGCCTATGAGCTCTTAGACATGGCTTGGTTCCCCCTCCCACATAAGCGACAAACCACTCATTGCTTCCTAACCCCGCCTTGTACTCCCAACCAATCAGCAAAAGAAGGCAGTATTTGCGTTCCACGTTCACCCACATATGGTTTCGGGCGGAAACATTGTCCCCCGACACGAGTTCCACGAATAACCTCATTGTAGTAGTGGAGGGGACCGGTCGCAGCTGCGCCTGTGCAGGAATCTAAAGGGGACCAGTCCTGGCAGCAACAGGAGCTGATATTCCAGAACAACCCACCATTCTGTCTTACATACAATATTTAGATTACTGACCTGGGACAAGTCTGCCTGAGGCCAGCCATACATGGGTCGATAATGGAACGATTATTCATTCAAAAATTGGACCTAAGAATAATTGGCCGATTTTCGCTCTGTCAGTGGGGCAATGGCACCAGCCAATTTTCGTGGTTCCTCCCCATAACATTTAGCGGGCATGCTGGAAAATTTGTGAAAAACGAACAATTTTCAAAATCATTGGTGGCATCATTGGATTACAGAGCAAATGATATTTTCGATCGGCATCAGGGGCGGACTGACAACTCATGGGGCCCCCAGGCAATAGGGGATCATGGGGCCCCTGTGTCCTTGCCCAAACTCAAAAAAGCTTATGATAAAGGTACCAGGGGCATCTCATGGAGCCCCCTACTGACCCCGGGCAGTGCCCGAGTTTCCAAATGGTCAGTCCGCCCGTTCGGCATTCAACCCATGTATGGCCTGCTTTACACAAGTGGCTCTCAACCTCCAAACACATTCATTTTCTCACACAAGTCAGCATTGTCTGCTAAACAATATATATTCTGAAAGCAGAGACACTAGAGAATAAAATGGTGGCTGTTCCAATGTTTTAATGTCACATATTTGCATAGCCCTTTATCAAATGTCACTTTTCAGGGAACAAAAGCCCTAAAATGAATGTTAGTGCACAGAGACACAATCCCCAATTGTTGTTGTAACCCATTACAGAAGATGTTACACTTAGTAAAGAGATACCAAACAAGTCAAGGTGTAAAGGGGTTCCCACCCCTGAAGTGGCAGCAGACTACGGCACCTAAAACAGCCCATAGGTGACATTTTAGAAGCCTTTAGCCCTGGTTCACACAGGAGAGACTTTTCATGCGCTCTGAGTTTCAAATCGCACCCTATTGTCAACAATGGAACCGTTCACCTCGGTGCCACTCCGACTTTGTGGTGCGCACTGATTTGGAAAAAAAAGTTCCTGCACTATTTTTGCGATATCAGGTGTGACTTGCATTAACATCTTTCCATGAAGCAGCATCTGATATCACACTGAAAAGCGACTGAAATCGTGTGACTTCATGTGAAGATGCACAATTCCAAAGTGGGATCCAGTGTGAACCAGGGATTCCGGGTCATCAGTGTAACATTAATCCTAGAATTATTGCTCTCACCCTGACAAACACAGAAATATCTCACGTGTGATGTGATCATTGTTTTATGAATAGGAGTGGTTTGTTTTTTTATTTTTTTTTTTAAATTTAAAGTGTTACTAAACCCCGCATTCACTACATCCGCTCTCCCCGGACCCCACACTCGCTGTATCCGCTCTCCCCGGACCCCGTACTCGCTACATCCGGTCTCCCCGGACCCCGCACTCGCTACATCCAGTCTCCCCGGACCCCGCACTCGCTACATCCGGTCTCTCCCGGACCCCGCACTCGCTACATCCGCTCTCCCCGGACCCCGCACTCTACATCCAGTCTCCCCGGACCCCGCACTCGCTGTATCCGCTCTTCCCGGACCCCCTACTCGCTACATCCGGTCTCCCCGGACCCCGCACTCGCTACATCCGGTCTCCCCGGACCCCGCACTCGCTACATCCGGTCTCCCCCCCGACCCCGCACTCGCTACATCCGGTCTCCCCGGACCCCGCACTCGCTACATCCGGTCTCCCCGGACCCCGCACTCGCTACATCCGGTCTCCCCGGACCCCGCACTCGCTACATCCGGTCTCCCCGGACCCCGCACTCGCTACATCCGGTCTCCCCGGACCCCGCACTCACTGTATCCGCTCTCCCGGACCCCGCACTCGCTGTATCCCTCTTCCCGGACCCCGCACTCACTACATCCGGTCTCCCCGGACCCCGCACTCACTACATCCGGTCTCCCCGGACCCCGCACTCACTACATCCACTCTTCCCAGACCCCGCACTCGCTGTATCCGCTCTGCCCGGACCCCGCACTCACTACATCCGGTCTCCCCGGACCCCGCACTCACTACATCCGGTCTCCCCGGACCCCGCACTCACTACATCCGGTCTCCCCGGACCCCGCACTCACTACATCCGGTCCGGTCGCCCCGGACCTCGCACTCACTACATCCGGTCTCCCCGGACCCCGCACTTACTACATCCGGTCTCCCTGCACCCTGCAATCACTATATCTGGTCTCCCACAGTACACAGAAATGCAATTATGTTAGTAAATATAAACTGCTAAATACCTTTTCTCATCAGCAGTGAGAGCAGTCTTGTGACTTCTATCAGTGTCCAGCCGAGCACGTTAAAGCTTGTAGGAGGAGTTTTCTTTCTGCTCTAGGAGGATGCAGCACCCCTGACCTCTGTCTGGACAGTGCTGATTGGCACTGTGCTGATCACATGCAGTCTCCCAAGAAAAAAATAAAACACACCTCTCTAGCAATACACACCAAACTGAGCATGTGCAGAATGGCTACAATTTAGTCTGTCTTAACAGGAGATAAGAAGTGGACATTTGAACAAGATGAGGAGCAGAGAAGCCAGGATCAAATGGTCTTTTTACACAATGCAGAGGATTAACCCCTTAGGTTCCACAGTTAGTATAACAAGCATGCTTTGCTGAATATACAGACTGATTTTACTGTTGTGGGTTTAGTAACACTTTAAATGTTTTTATACTTTTACTTTAGGTAAAACATTGAAAATGGGTGGACAGGCAGGATTTTTAATGCAGAAGACATGCTTAGCCTAAACAATATTAACACATAATGTACTATCATTTCCTGCAATAAAAGGAACTCTATGAATGGAGGAAGGGTGGATGAATGAAAGGTCCACCTCCTCTAGTCACAGAGCACTTTTCATTGTGGAAAGCGGTAGTATAGCTATGAACGGAGGAGGGGGGTAGAAGCGCATGGGCATAGGTAGCACTTTTGACTCAATTGCCTCTCGGGGGATCAGGAAGGAATTTTGTTTCCCCTGCAGGAGAAAATTGGATTGTGCTTTGCTGGTTCTTTTTGCCTTCCTCTGGATCAATTGTGGGTATAGGATTATAATTTTTTTTTTTTTTTTTTTTATGGTTGAACTAGATGGACTTTTGTCTTTTTCCAGCCAGACTATGTAACTAGTATCTGTGCCAGGTCCAGCACCAGATGATCACGCTCTGGGGGGATCCAGGGGAGCAAAGGAATGAAGATTTAAACAAACACAGCCGATACCAACAGAAGAGACACACTTCAGTCAATCTAAAGTCTGCCCCTGGTCTTGGGTTAAAAGAAATAAATGTCAATAGACTTTATCTATCTCTACATTTTTAGTTAACCTTAAAAACCAGGAATACATTTTGACAGACCAGACACCATCTTTGAAAATGGCAAAGCTGAAAATAGAACAAATACTTTCCTGAAAAAAATGCATTATCTCTAGTTGGATAATGTTCCTGACTAGATAGATAGGGGAGACTGCTCTCTCTGAATTACTGTAGGACTGCATTTTGGCTGCTAAGACCAGCCCCATGGTTTATATTTAAAACAGTTTTAAAATATTAATGTGCACTTAATGCCTGTGCAGTGTGAACGCAGGCTGCTATGTGTTGATAAAAGTGCATTGCAGTGCTCACGTTTCTTTTTTTTTTTTTTTTTTACTTCCATGTAAGTCTATTCACCACAGCTTGTTGCAACACATTTACATGCATTATGTGTTTTTATGCATTGCAGTGCTCTCTTTATTTTTTAACTTCTATGTAATTCTATTTATTGCAACACATTTACCTACATTATGTGTTTTTATGCATTGTAGAAAAAAAAATGCAACAGGTCTACATGTTTCCCCAGCACACACTAAAGCAATGCTCAAATGGCAACTGGGACAGCAATAGTACCTGCTTTATCCATGTGCTGAGCCTGCAGTCATCAATACAGAACACCACAGCTCAAAGCCCAAGTATGAATGGGCCCTTAGAGATTTTTTTAGTTCTAGTAGAAGGTTTGGTTGACGTTGTCTATAAAATAAAATACCGCTTGCCGTCTCTTTATATTAACACACAGCTGGTGGCTTCTGAGTACCAAGTAACTGCTTTTCCTGTTTGGCTCATTAAAAGCATTATACCTGCTGTATGGCAAACATTAGCTCTTTTAAACAATAAAAATGTTATGAAAAAAAAAAAAAACATTTGATATTACGCATTCAAAAGTGACATTTGCACAAATCATTAAAGTGGTTGTAAAGGCAGAAGCTTCTTTTTACCTTCATGCATAGGTCCCCCTAATATTCACCTGAGCCCCCTCTCAATTCATCAGTGTGCACGAGAGCCTCGATTTTCCCAGGACTCCCTCTGTCAATCACAACCAGTGAGTCAATGAGGAGAGGGGGGGGGGGGGGGGGGGGGGGGACGAGCCTTAGCTTTATGTGTCCTATGGATGCATAAAGCCAGGCTAGAAAGAGAGCATGCACCAGTGCCCCCTTAGCAAGCGGCTTGCTATTGGGGGTACTGGTTAAGAGGGAGGAGCCAGGTGGGCTGGCGGGGGACCCAATAGGAAGAGGATTGGGGCTGCTTTGTGCAAAACCACTGCACAGAGCTGGTAAGTAAAACAGGTTTGTTAGTTAATTTTTTTTTTTTTTTTTAAAAAAGCGCTTTAATACCACTTTAACTTGATATAATTGGCAAGCACTCTGTTGTTCAATACAAGCTGATTTTGTTTTCATTTTTATTAAGGCTCAAGGCAGCTTACCTGTGACAGTTGGTAGTGTTCTATGGAGTAAATGTTTAACATATTTATCATTGAATGCAATGACAAACTTGAGATTTAGGTTTTGTGGTCCTTTTAAATGACTTTGCAGCCTCAAGACCGACATCAGAAATCTAAAACTAAAACAGGAATGAGGATCAGATCTTGTCATTAGCAAAATCCCAATGTCGTCAAACACCATTTTTAAAGTGACCCAGTTTATAACTCACCAAAATGAAACTAGAGACACCCTGTAAAAGTGGAATAAAAATACTTTTCTGGTGGGAAGTGACTCCAATCTTCACAGAACGATGACCACCACTGGTTTTGGACACTTCCAAGTGTGTTGGAGTCCTAGTCGCACAGCACTAATCTGTGGTTCCTCCTATCCACCCATACATTACCACAGGACACAGCAGTAATACAATTACATAAATGCCTTAATGTCTTTTAGGTGGCAGTGTCCTGTGGCTTCCATACATGTCAGTAATATTACAAATAGTTTAAAGGATAAGTTCACCTTTTTGTACAAAAATAATAAATGTACTTTTTTTTTTACAGGTAAAAAAAAAAAATGTGCATTTATTATTTTTGGCTGCAGGGGCCTGGAAAGCATTGCACCGGTGATCAACAGACTGTTGGTGCCATGAAGATCTGTCAGAATATCTGCTTACCTGTACGTGATTGTACAGGCAAGCAGATATATTGACAGGAAAAATCAATAAACTACCACGCTGTGGACAGCACCGTGGTAGTTCTTTGAGAACTGCAAGCCGCCGAGGCTGTTGGGACGTGTAGTTAACTCATTCACAGAACACTGTGAATAAATGATGCTGCCGTGTGGGCGGAGCTTCACACAGTTCTGCTGTTTTTAAATACTGACAGCTAGTACAGGGAACGTCTCCCCGTACTTCTCTCAGAGGGAGGCAGCAGGTGGTGGCTGCAGCATTGGGAACATGTTACATGTTCATCCCTAAAAACAAGTGGAACATATAACATGTACCCAAAAGTGAACTTATCCTTGAAAACAGTCAGGTGTTGAGAGCGGAAGTTTCAGGCATAGAAGACACTCAGTAAATACACAATCACTCCAACAGTTTAATGACAAAACATGAGTGGTAAGAGAACAATAAGAGACATGTTCCCAAAAAACAACCAACCAACGAAGTGAATATGAGACATGCTCTCCACAAGGCAGTGCAGCCTGGGAAATATTATCCAGCATGTACTGAGAATTTCCCCAAAATGTACATATGTTACAGAAAAGCAAAAACAGAACACAGGCTTACAGCTCTTCCTGTTAAAATAAGGGTTTTTTTCATACTTACAATCTTATAAATTACAAATATACACAAATCTCCTCAACATCTTGGTGAAAGTAACAGGTTGATCTGAAAAATGTCTGATATCAGAAGGAAAACAGCACTGATTAAGCTGTAAGGGATAAAGGCTTATCGGAAAGTACAGAAGGAAAGGAGTTGTTCAGTTATTTACATACATCAGATCAATAACTTTCATGCAAGAGCCCCAAGAGCTGTAATGTAGCCTGAGCATATATCTGAAACCAGCTCTGCTGACATGGACAGCTCATTCACCGTAACTGTGATCACAGAAGTCTAGTTCTGTGAGCACCTGCTCTGATACCCCACTGTCTCCCCCCGATTTTAGATAAGGGTTGAGACCTCAAAACAGCCCCCTGCTCTCCAATGAAAGTAAATGAGTTGAAGAACATAAATAGTAAAAAGCCACCTTCATAACGGAAATTGATTAATTTGTTAACTGCAAAACCTCTAGAAGGTCAAGAAAGTCACAATTTTTAGCTATGGTTTCTTCGCCTGTAAGTGTTCTACAGAAAAAGTCATTTTTGCCACAATCCACATCTAAAGGTCCTTGCAGTACAAGTTTTAAAAAAGCATGATGAATGTTACTGGTAACAAAGGGCAATCATAAAATATTTCCTCCAACAATGACATCTAATTAGAAAGAGTGTAAAGATGAAGGAAACTTTTTTTTTTCTGTTGCAGGATCAGATTGTTGTCACAGCAAACAATTTTGCACAACCTAGCTTCAGGAAAATATTAGAAATCTTTTGTTTAAAATATTATTTACAAAACAAGATTCAGTAGGGATTCATTTTCTTAAAGAATGGCATTTTCTGGCATAGAAACAAAGGTTGCTGGGAAACGTCAACACTGAAGGGGGTTTCATCCTGTTAATTTGTAATATTTTGGAGCCCTCGCAGTAGCAACCGTCTAGTAAAAGGATTCACAAAAGCACCATTTCACTCAGCAGACAAAAGCCCATACTGTAGGATATGCATTGTATCAGTCAGCTGACTCAAGATGCAATACCAATTTTCACCAGTAGGTAAAAGCTAGTATCAATGCCCCAGTAAATGTGGGTTGCTGTGGAAATGATTCTCTTTAAAACGGTTATACTAATAAGTTAACCCGTTCGTTAGTCAGCCAATACATTACAGAGCACCTTTCACTACGTTACATTGACAGCACCTGTTTAGGAGCCAAACCGGTACTTTGTAAAAAGACAGTGCTTTTCTGAATAGAATTTCCAGTTTGACAGTTGCCTGCAGACATAGGAACTAGAATGTGGGCTGAGGCAGCCAACACGGTTCTATGTATCTTATAATCAGATTTCACCAGCAGGTGAAATTTCAAGTGAAAGCTGCAATTACAGCTCTTGTTCATAAAGGGTAACAAAATAGGGGATTTATGGCTTTCTTGGAAAATTAATTTAATGTAATCTGAACCTAGAGTGTTTTTACAGCTTCTGAGCGCTCCTTCTGAAAATGCTAGTTGCCCAGCTGTTATGCTGAATCGGTGGCTTCAACACTTACCGGGACACAGACCCTGAAAGTATGCACATCATGACTGCTGACTTCACTGGGTGCACGCTTGTTACTGGTCATTGATTTTAAAAGACCTGAAGCCAGGGACAGGCAGGCAATCACCACCTTCAGAAAGAGGTCAACATAGGCAGCCTCTGTATTTCTCCAAGATTGGATTTTCTCTAAACTGGAAATCAAAACCCATTGTTCCAAAAGTAAGGAATAGATGATTTATAATGAACCTGCAGACAAGCTGAGAATTCATCACTTCTATTGAAATTTTGCATGTAAATTTTAAAGTGTACCTAAACCCAAAATGTAACACAGCTTACCAGTCCTAACATGTGGCCGCTGCATTAGTTTCCTTTTCCAAGCTTCTTTCCCTTTATTTTAATCTAGTGACCCTGCCAATTACATGCTTTTTTGTCTTAAGGTGACATTGTTCAATAACTGCACTGTATCTATGGAGAAGCAGCCATGTCACCTTATGCTCTCCTGATTTAGATTACAAACACCCCCTGTCTCCATTACATTGAGGGGTGTCGCTTTGTAATTCACAGCAGATCTCGGACAAAACTGACAGCATTCAGTTCAGTCCACAGGAAGTTACAAGTACACAAGAATTAGGTAAGGATCAACAGGTATTCTTCTAATGCAGTCATCTCATCCAAGGAATAGTAAGCTTCAATACATTATATTTTTGTGCAAGGATTTAGATTCACTTTAATCGGAACATTCTTTTTCCAATCTGTTGTCAGGTACTAGTGTTCTTTTCAAACAAGTAGTGAAAACTGTTGGTCATTTTTGCTTCGGTCATTTGTAAACACCGGAAGTAATTGGTGAACAGGAAGAATGCCAACGTTAACAAATAAACCCCAGACTTTGCATTCACTTCAGGAACCATCAACTGTGCTGTAGTAGTTGTTTTGTAGCTTCCCTGGCTGGTCCAAAGAAACTTAAAGTGTTTTCAGAAACATAAACAAGTCCAAATAATAAAAATAAAATAAAAATGACCTATTAGGACTTTACACCAATTAGCACAACAATCAAAACAATCACGAGGACAAACAGAATTAAAATGACAAGCATCTTGCGGTTCTTTTTCTGGTACTGCTCGGCCTGAAAAATAGAGAAAGAGAAAAAAAATTAAAGTGTGTAAAGCTAGAGTACAGGTGAAACGCGAACAATTACAATATGATGCAAAAGTTCATTTATTTCAGTAATGCAACTTAAAAAGGTGAAACTAATATATGAGATACACTCATTACATGCAAAGCAAGATAGTTCAAGTCGTGATTTGTCATAATTGTGATACTGTTTACATTACTGCCTACCTTTTGCAACTGTTTCAAGCCTTCCTCTGTCTTCATACAAGACTGTTCCACGTTATAGTCTATTCTGTCCATAACCGTACCCTAGAGAAACACACAGGTGGTCATTTTAGTGGGATGTCTTTAGCATAACATAGTGACAATATAAAACAGCAGAACAGTTGGACTGTACCTGCTCCACCACCATGGTTGCCAGGTCTCGGAAGATCTCGTTCAGGTCAGAGATGGACTGTACTATCTGACGAATCTCCCTCTCCCGTTCTTCCACAATTAACGTATTCTGCTGGACCAGAGCAAGCTGATCATCTGTGAACCCCTGAGATGTGGAAAAGAAAGTTTCATAAAGCGCAAATTGCAACTAAAAGGAAAACTACAATGCATTTACTAAAACAATATCCAATACAGAGGGTCAGGGTTTTTTAAAGTGGAACTACACTGTATCTGAGAACCAAAAACCAAAGCAAACTCCCCCTCCCATCCATGTCTCCATGCTTTATTTTGCTGAGAAAGCACTTGGAAAAACACCCCCTATCACTTCTGGCCTTGGCAATTTTGAGTAAGGACAGATGATGCTTGTAGCATTTACTTCCTGGAATCCATCTGCCCTTAGGTCAGGCATGCAGGAGGGTGTGCTTAGCTGATAAAACCCCTCCTCCAGTCCTGCAGACTCCTGGGATGTATGACATAATTTGCCTAGCCCTGGAAGTAACTAAATAGATATTAAAAAACACTTTAAAACAAGTAAATATGATATACTTTCCTATCTATGTACTAGCAGCATAAAGATTCAAAATAGTCAATGCTGATTGGGAGTGAAGTTCCACTTTAAATACTGCAGCATACGGAAGACATCAGAGTACGGAAGTCATGTCAGATATAAAAAAAACAAAAAAAAACAATCTGATTTGACATTTGATCAGGTCTTACCCGATCATACAGTGTAGTGTCCTCTCCATCATCCATGAGGGGAACAGACGTGTCAAAGAAATGTTTAGATCTTTCCTCTCGATTCTTCATTCCTACAGATAAAAACAAATCTTACTACAGTATCATAGTCATCAATGGACTGAGAGATTGCTCACATTACGACAAAATATTGTAAGGAAGAAATCACACAAAGAGCAATCTGTAAAGAGTGTTAATCTGAAAAGTCAGCAACAATCTTTCTTCCTGGTGCCTGAGCTTCGCAAAGAAAAAAAAAAAAAACTGCACGCAAACACACACACACAGATCGCAATCTGACTACTGTACTTTGGCTACATCACCTGAATTTCAACGTTCCAAAAGTAAAGTGTGGCAACTTTGCATACCCGGTATTCCAACAAAGGTAAGTCATGTTGGCAGACATGAAGTTAAAGCCCATGTCATCTCCAACCCTATTTTTAAAAATTTCTCTAGATACATACCTTAATTTCAGGTGATCCGGTGAGGTCATGGGTCCTTCTTCTGCTCTGGTGACAGTGGGCAGTCTTTAATACAGGACAAAACGTCACTCACCTTACCGATGTCCTGAGTACCAACACTGTAAGCTCTGGCCTGCTGTGCTTTTGGGAAACATTTCCCTCATTTCTAACCCTTTCCAACTCTATCCAGACTTAATAAAAAAAAAAAGTTTTAGCTCACACTTCACTTAAAGAGGAGCTCCACCCAAAAGGGGAAGTTCTGCTTTAAGGACTAGTCCCCTGCTCCCATTTAAGGATTGGCACCTTTGGGGTGCGGGTACCCGAAATTGACAGGTACCCACTCCCATTACCTAGGCGATCAGAAGTGGAAGTTGTTCTCCCACCTCTCCCTACCCGTAGTCTTCTAGGACACAACAGGTCCCAGAAGACTACAGGACCATTCAGAAAGCTCTGTGCTACTCGCGCATGCACAATGAAGATGCCGTGCGCCGGGAACAAAGGACGGTTGGTGAAACAGGCTGCGAGGAGGGCACCGCTGGATCACAGGTTTTGTAGCTGCTCACATTTTTTTTTTTTTTTTTACAGTTTCACTGGAATGCTGCTTCAAGGTTGCCCAGGGGAAGCACAGAATGGGAAATTTAAAATGGGAATGGGAACATTTATGTTACATCTGCAAAATGTGACAGCATTTTTTCCATTTTTGAAACAGCCCTTTGGCACATACTGTGCGGCCCTGTACAAACCCCCGCAGTCAGTAGTAGGAACACTCCCTTGAAAGGAAACTATAATGTCCGTGATCTCTTTGCAGTTTTCTGTAGCATATCCCTAGTCTTTGACAGTCTTCTGCAGTGTGTCTTCAGTCTCTATTTACCTGTCCACAGTCTCCGACCATCTACTCTGATATAATTAAAGTAGCAGTCAGGAACCATAGTCGAGGCTCCCTATGCCTCATAGGTGGACATCTACTGCTCTACTCTATCAAAAATTACAAAAATGGCTAGAGATATTAAAAAAAAAAAAAAAATTGACCCTGAGACAAACCTTGTGGGATCTGCCCAACTGATTGCTCTAAAACTACCTACAGACAAGAGACTGTAGTCAGATCAGAAGTTTGTTGTGTAGAATTGTTTCAGGCAGTTGATGATTATGCACTGAGCAGAAAACCCTAAATTTTGTCTAATTTTGGAAAAAAAAAACAATTTGTCTACAAAATTCATTCTGGAAAACTAGATTTTCTCTGTCAGCCAGCAGTAGCTGTAAAGTGCCCATTAGGCATATCATCTTTTTTTCCAAACCCACTATAATCTGGGCAGGCAAGCAACAATTAAATCATGTCTATGGCTGGTCTAAATCTGGCAGCAAATTCTGTGTTTCAGTCTTTTTTTTTTTAAAATAAATCCTGGACTTATCTTCGAAGAATAATACATACTCTTGAGATATCCAGACTGAGTATGTCTGAAGTTTGTTGAGAGATCCTGCAGGGACTGTGCCAGTGAGGACACCACGTTACGCAACACCCGTTCCTCTTGCTCTGTGCAGTTCCGTGCTCGGCTCTGCAGGCCTGCACTGCCCGCTGACAGCGGTGGAACATCTGAAAGAGAATATAGGTCTTCAGGGAGAGGGCAGGCACGGATTCCCGTGAAGAAACCGCAGTAAAGTTACATCATGTTACCTGTGTGATCTCTTGAGTCGAGATTTCGATAGCATGCTCTTCTTCTGTGCTGTCATCTAATGTCGGCCTGTTTAAGTGCTTGTCATGTAAACTGGCCAGCTCCTTCATCTTTTGTTTAATACGTGTGATATCATAATTGATCTGCAATGAAAAATCAAATGAGACCCCCCTTTTTAAAAAGAGTTCTAGACATAAAGTAGAAATGTAAGAAAGTATAACAAAAACCCTTTAAAGTATAACTAAAGGCAAAACATTTTTAGTTTTTGACAGAACGGAGAAGGGACAGAACATCTGTTGGGTTTTATGAAAGTGAAAGAAAAAGAACATAACAAATTTTGGGCCAGAAATGTAATAGAGGGAAAATCTTCAGATGGAGTCCCAATGAGTTCTCTTAACTTGCAGGGATTTCCTCTCACTTCCTGTGTTAGCTATGGGATCGGTAAATCTCCCCAGCAGGAACCAGATGGCAAAAGAAACTGGCAAGGTTATAGCTGTCCCTTACTCTATCCCCTAAAATGAAAACAAAAAAAAAAAGTTTTGCCTTTAGTTTTACTTTAAATCATTAAGGGCCAGTTCACATCATGCCCGCATCTGAATTGCACATGAACACGCTGTGCGTTCCTGTGCTATATGTGGCTCTGTGTGCTGCAATATCAGCCCATTCACCTTGAATGGGCTGAAATCGCATCACACCAAAAGTAATGCATGCGCTGCTTTTTAAGAACGCACTGCAACCGGATCACATGGTACAAAGTACCATGCGATCCGGTGAGGGCAAACGCACTGCGTTTGCAACCTGCGTTTGGGGTGTCATTAACTTTTTACTGACACCCGTTGCAGATTGCAAATGTAATGCATTTTGCATATGGTTTGAATCGCACAGGAACACACAGCACGTTCCTGTGCGATGAAGATGCAGGCATGGTGTGAACCGACCCTAAAGCTCAACTCCAGGCACACACCAAAAAAACATAAAAGAAATACACCTTTTATAGTGTGCCATATATCACCTTTTTATAGCGGTTCAGAATTGGGAATCTTACCTCCTCCACTCCATCCACCCATTTTGGAGACAAGCGCTTTGTGACACCGATAGCAGCACTTCTGGATCCAGGCTAATGCCTGACACCAAGGCCATGCGGTCATCTGCAAGCTGCAAAGAACAAGAAAAATGAATGAGATTACATGTACGCAACTAACAGCTTACTTTGGAGCTGGGATGTATGTGGGGCATGACTGAATATGCAGCAGAAAAAGAATGAAATGTTAGTGGGAAGGCCAAGTGTTAAAGGATCCCTTTAGGGTCAGTATAAATATGGGAGGGGCTGGGAAAAGTCATTTATCACTTAAAGAAAACTTCAATATTTATTTAATAATACCAAGAACTGAACTATTCCTGTCACAAACTACTGTCGATTATGGTTTATTTTTTTTTTTTGCACCATATAAGGTTTCTGATTGATGCTGTGTATGTAGTCTAAACTAGAAATGCCCATTTCTTGATTCTAAAGCCTTTTAATCATAGTTGGACAAATTCAGACAGAAGGAAAGTGGAAAGCAGGCATATGCTTCCAATGACAGAAGAAGGTCTAAAAGGTCATAAGGTCTAAAGGTCATAGAAGGTCCAAACAAGAAAAGCCCTAGCTTTATTTAAGGCGGATTTCTAGCTTTACTTACATTTCAACTAGTTTGTTTGGACCTATCTCCTACATTAACAGGTGTTCCCGCTGGGCGTGCTGTGTAAACCTTAGTTACGGCTCAGTTTTGTTCTGAGTTTGGAAGGGGAAGTTCACGTTCCAAAGCAGGACCATAGTGCTGTATACTGCATGTAGCGGAGACTACATACAGCGCACCCAGCAGGAACTGGTAGTGTTGGAAATAGTGTTTTGGGCCAGATTGGCCCAAATAAATTAGTTAAAGTGGTTCTAAATGCCGAAGCTTTTTTTACCTTCATGCACTCTATACATGAAGGTAAAAAACCTTACGTTTGCAGACCTCCTCATACTTCAGCCCAATCTCAATCCAGTGATGTGCACAAAAGCAGCAGCTCTCCAGGGTCTCTCCCTTCTAACTGGCTGAGACTCGGCAGTGGGAGCCATTGCCTCAGGCTGCTGTCAATCACAGCCAGTGTGGAGAGAGCGGGGCCGAGCCATGCTGTGAGCCTTATAGACACACAGAGGAGGCTCAGGAGCGAGCACACACAAGTGCACTCAGCAGAGGGGAGGGGCCAGGAACACCGGCAGGGAACCCGATGAGGACTGGGGCTGATCTATGCAAAACCACTGCACAGAGCATGTATGACATTTTTTTTTTTTAATCTGAACCTTTAGTATCACTATAAAGTAAAGGTAAAGCTGGAAATCAGCTTCAAATCTTTTTATTCGAGACATGGTTCCCTGGATTTTACCAACACTGATATTTATCAGGGTCGGTGCACCATTAGAAGTAAACTTCCATGGCCTACAATAATTGCCAAAACTACCAACATCCTAAACCTATGCAGACAACGGCAACAAGGTGCAGTTTCCATTCACTGCAGTGTGCCTCAGTTCATGGTAGGCCTCATATGGAAACCAACATAGAATTTCTGCTGCCAGTTGTTGCTCCATGCAAAGCCTAAAATAACTCCAATACAGTGAACCAATGTCACCATCAAACCTCTCCAGTGTCAATGAAGAACTTAACTGTGTGTACTCACTTACCCTGTCTTGGTGAAAGCATCAAGATGGCTGTTTTTTTGGTCTTGATGCCTTCACCCCAAGCAAAAAGGAGTCAGTGAGTGCAAACATTAGTTATAAGAAGGAATTTATTTTCAGCTGAATGTACCTTCTCCTAGAAAAGATCAAAGAAATGATTCGAGGACCAAGCAAACCGGCCATTATCACCATTTCAATTTCCCTGAATATGTTCAGTGCCCAATATGTTGCTGATCAAGCTGTTCATGAATGGGATCATTCTTCACAGATTAGACAATACAACAAGTTCATATGTAGGCAAATCAAAAATATGCCATGTGCCAATAAACCAAAAGGCCAGGAAATATTGCTTTCATCTCCAGAAGAATGTTTAGAGGTATGTATTGGCTGGATGTGGCATCAGAGACTCTATACAAATGGAGAAACAGAAAAAAAAGGGCGCACCGAGCCAACCTTGGCTCTGAGGAAGAGGTTGTGTCCTCGAAACGCGTTAGCCAGCTGGTCATCCAGGGTTCTATCGTATGGACTCAGATGTTGTTTGGATCATACACCTTGTTCAGTTTGACATGCCTGTGTTATTATGTCCATTGTGAGTATGATACCTATTTTTGTTTCTTTAATAAATTATTTTAAACGATAATGCACTAGGTCGGTGCGCCTTTTTTTTTTCGGTTTCTCCATTTGTATCCAGTGTATTCGGACCACCCCGGTCTGTTGAGGGCAGCAAGCAGTGCACATTCCAGAAAATTCCAGAACATTCCTATTGGGTCTACTGAGTCCTTTCCTAGCGCAGGAGTAAAGTGTCTGTTGTATCAGAGACTCTGCGCCAGTACGTGGGCCGTTAACACTAACATTCATTTTTAACTTCTCAGATGATGTCAAATTAAACAGGTGGATGGAAAGGAGCTGAAACATTGTCACATATAGTTGGTATAAGTCAGGCTGAACATAACTAGCTGCTGGTTTCCTGTGCAGTATTTTTAGCAGAGGAAATGCTGAGAGAAGGTGCAAAAGTCAAGTATAGCTCAATTTGGGAAAAACTGAGAAAAAAAAAATCATAACAAATCATCGTGAATATTAATAAACTTGGAAAAATCAGATAAAACATCAGGTTTAGCAGGAGACACTATACCTCATCGAGCTCCTGGGTTGCAGTTCATCAGATGAAAGGCAGGAGGGACAAGGAACAGACAACAGCAAAGACCGAGAAAGAACAAAGATCATCAATGCCAATTATTAGAAGGTCACCAACACCGATTGACATATTGATTATTGGGCATATTGATTTGCAACACATAAAAAGCCCTAGCATAGGAACCGGCCTAACCTATGACATACTACATCCCCACTGTATGGCATAGCAAATTGCTCTTGCTAAAGAATAATTTCAGGTAAGGCTATAGTACATAGTTACAATGGACAAGGTTGGACCGATGTAACTACATGTATATACTACACCAGACACCGCTAATTCAGTGATCTTCCCTTGCTTCCAGGTCCTATGCTGAGCAGCCGGGCCTGGTGCATTGTGAAACCCAGGAGATCGGCAACTCAGCACAGGTACTATTCAAAGAATGCTCCGCATTTTTGAATGAATGCAAAGTGTTCTCTGATTGGATGAGGTGCAGAATTGGGACAGTGACTGCAGCTGTCAGAATACCTGAGCAGCGGCTCGATTTACAATTTTTCACCTGACCCCTTTGATAACAGATGATTGAAAATTCAACTTTTTTTTTTTTCGATCCAGGTAGTGCAATAGGGCCACCAATAGCTCGAAATCTGAGCTTTGTAGAGACTCTAGTCTTTCCCCACTCTATCCAAGCCTAGGAAATTTGGTTCGGCAGGGCATACACTTTCAGATCACTGGGAATCAGTTGGAGCCAAGCTTATTTTAATTTTTGCTACATGTCAGTGGCTGATAGTAGTAACTTTATATACAATTAGGTTTGCTTTTACAAAACAGAACGCGGTTTTTCTGAAAATGTACTGAAGGTATCATATATACATAAACAGTCACTAGCACTGGATTTATGGCTGCGTCACACATGCATTGTTTGTAAAAAGAGCCGATGGCATCTACATATCTACGCAGGCAAAGCTAGAGCACTAAGTTCTACATGGCTACACTTTGACAAACTATATACCTCAGAGTAGACAGCAAAGGGAGCAAAAAAGTAAGAACACAGAAACGTCAGTATTTCCTATTTACAGTTTGACAGGTACGGTGAATTGTATACATTCACCGGTCACGCCTCAGACAGGTGTGCACACAAAAGCCATTCATGCTACCATGTCAGGTCCTGATGGAGCCACCATTCTGTATCCTTATAACAGGACTTGCGTGGCATTGTGTGCAAAGAACCAGCTGGGGCTCTTAAACAAAAAGAGTAATTAGTAGTGTGTGATGCAACTCATACCGAAAAAAGTGGGCATGATTTTTATTTCACAGAGGGAGCATCAAGCCAACAAAGGCACAAATTACAACAGTGCGTACCTTAGTGAACCCCAGCATAGCAAGGTACATGGCTGTGCTGCAAGTATGATCCGTTACGTACAATACATGTTCTTGAGGCCTTCATCTACATATGCAGGACTTTGGTCCTAAAGCTGCTATGCCATCAATGGTAGACAAATCTATACAATCAGACAGCTAGGGGTTATAGAACTCTGTATTTCTTAACTAACATATATGGTGAAAATGGGTCAAGAAACCTTTGACTCTCCAACTGTCATGCCTTGAAAGAGTATACTGAGACTTCAGTTCAGCGCATAGCCTGATGCTAGTGTTAAAGCGGAACTTCACCCAAAAGGGGAAATTATGCTTTAAGTCCTCCTCCTCCCCCTCCTCTGGTATGTTTCTTTTCTTTTGGGGGGGGATGTGAGAGGGTACCTAGTTTTGACAGGTACCTGCTCCCATTTCTGCTCAGATTGCCTAGACGATCCAAATGGAAGTTCTCCTCCCCGTTCCCTCCATGCAGTCTTCTGAGTCATGTCACAGGTCCCAGAAGACTGTGGAACAATTCACAAAGTACAGCGCAGCTCGCCCACGCACAGCCAGCTGTGAAGCCGAAAGCAGCATAGCCGGCTGCCCACAGTTAAGATGCCGGCACCAGGAACCTGAAGGCTAGTGAAGAACCAGCCTGGGGGAGGACAGTGCTGGATCCCGGGACAGGTAAGTATTCCTTTATTAAAAGTCAGCAGCTACAGCGTTTCTAATTGCTGACTTATTTTTTTTTTTTCCCAGGGTGGATAGTCGCTTTAAAAGATAAGTTCACCTTTTGTAACATGCTACATGTTAATACCATATTCAGGGTGTAACATGTTATGAAAGGACCAGCCCCCGCTCCCCCCATATCCACCATTGTGACACCTAGTGAGGGATCTTCTCCCCCCCGATAGCTGTCACAACTTAAAAAAAAAACGTGGCTGTGCAGGGCTCCGTCTGCCCGGCCATATCACTCATTCACAGTGTTCTGTGAATGAAAAACTACAAGTCCCGACAGCCTTTGCGGCTGTCAGCTTGTAGTTCTCAATGAACTATCAGGGAGCTGTTGAACACTGTGTAGTTCATGGATTGTTCCTGTCAGTGTGTATTTACTTACTTGTATGAGGTACAGGCACGCAGACACACTGACAGGTCTGCAAGAGTCCTGCATGATCACTGGTGCAATGCTTTCTGGGCTTCCAAAACAAAAAATAGTAAATGCACATTTTTTTTACCTTTTTTTACCTGCAAACAAATGTGCATTTATTATTTTTTTTGTTTAAAGGTTAACTTATTTAACTAACAAGCTGCAAAATTTGGTGCATGCATCAGCAGTATTAAAACATATTTTTACATCAAAGATGTGGCTCCATCACATTTATATAAACTTTTTTTGTTTTTTTTTTACTAAGCACCAAGTACAGAAAGAAACAATAGTAGCTCATCACAAATCACACTTCAATGATTTAAAAACAAAAGAAAACAAGCCCCCCCCGAAAACTAAAATTTGATTAGCTACAACAAATTACACATTCTCTTTGCACTAAACTATAAGAATGCATCTTGTATTTTGCATTATCCCTCAACAGCCTCTCTCAACCTTTTTACCCCAGAGGAGCCCATAAAATAATTTTCAGGTCTTGGGGAAACCCTGCTGAAACCAATTCATCCAAGATCGGTGGGAAAAAAATGCCCCTTACATTGGTGATTAGTAGACAGAATGTCCTTCTTAAAGGAGCTAAAAAGATCATTGGTCTCATGTAGCTGCCTTTGGCCCTAGAACTATGAAGGCACCACCAAACTGGAAGTCAAATGGACACAACATAAGGAAATCCTAGCAACTAGCAATGAGCTTCGGTTTGGTCCGAACACAAAGTGCGCTGTAATTCCCTGCCCCTGCATGTAAACAAAGGGGCCAGGAAGCTTTTGACATCATTAGTTAGTATAACCTGGTGGTCATATTAGCTCAATGATGCCAGGGGTTTCACCATCCTTCTGTGTACGAGACGCTGCATGGCAAGGATTCCCTCGCCTACAGCATATTGACCCAGTACTGACAGCTGGCTCCTGGGCTGGACCACACACAAGCTCATCCTTGCTAGCAACCTCTATGGAATGTTATTAGAGAATGGCTGTTCTAGACTGTCAGCCTGTATGGAGAAGGCACTTTACGCTATCTTGTTGTTGCTCTATCCATCTCTTTGTAATAGGAAAAATGGTTTATGTATTTATTTCCCTTCTCTGTATCAATTTATACAGTGCACAAGAGATGAGAACAATATATAAATCATTACAATACAGTATATTACAACAGGTTGGTGTGGAGTCAGTGAGGTGGATGATACTATAAGGAAATGTGAAAATATATATATATATATATAAAATATATATATACACACACACACATTTACATACATATACAGCGCTGAGCTGTATAATAATAATATACATACACACACTATATATATATATATATATATATATATATATATACACACACATATATACATACATACACATATACATACACACAGGCGTACCTCGGTTTACAAATTTAATGTGGTCTCTGGGAAGTTTCGTATTGCGAAAAATTTGTAAACCGAAATGCGGTTTCCCATAGGAATGCATTGAAAACCAATTAATCTGTTCCGGAGGTCAGAAAACAGTTAAAAAAAAAAGTCGGTCACTAAAGGTCAGTGCCGGATTTTAAATGTAATTAGCGGCTTTTCTTTTTTTCTTCACTATAGCTCAGAATATCAGCTGTCACTTCCCCCCCCCCAGCTAAAAGAAAGAAAGTTTCCTTTTAGTTTGTTTCCTGAGATAAAAGAAAAAAAGTATCCTTTAGCTCAGGGGAAAGTGAAGGAAAAAAAAGCTGGCAATTGCATTTAAAAATCGGCACCGACATACACTTCGTATTGCAAAAAAAATTAATAAACCGAGGCATTATTTTCAATGGATTTTCATTCGTAAACTGAAAATTACGTTAACCGAGGCATTCGTAAACCGAGGTACATCTGTATATACACACACACACACACACACACACACGGACTCCTCTATTGTACAAGGTATGTAGAATCAGTGAGGTGGATGACACTATAAGGGAATATAGATATGGGTGTATATATGAGGACTCCTCCATTGTAAAGGATATGGACCTGAAATTCTCAAACTGGGTGTCCTGAGCTGTGGCTGATTGACCTCCCATCCAATGAGCATGCATAGTTCTGGGGCAAGAAGTCACTTGGCAGAGCCAGTTGTTTGACACCAATGATCTTTTTAGCTGTCTGTAAGGCCCCAGTCACACATAAGCTGAGCATCTTTGGGCTTTTTGTGGAACATTTGTACAAGCATTTTTTGAGCTTTGTTTGCGCACGTTTCAGGCTTGGATTTTGTAGCCAATAGAAAACTAGTTATTATGCAAGAAAATGTAAGTTTCACACATTTTTCAGATGCTCTTGTTACAGCCTGTTTGTGCCAACACATGCAACTCTGCCCCAAGAAGATTCAAGTGACAGTATGCTCAGGTGTGAATGGGCACCGATGAATATAATGGAGATTGTGTCAAGCAATGTAAGGGACGTTCTTCCCACCGACCGCCAATGTAAGGGACGTTCTTCCCACCGACCGCCAATGTAAGGGACGTTCTTCCCACCGACCGCCAATGTAAGGGACGTTCTTCCCACCGACCGCCTATGTAAGGGACGTTCTTCCCACCGACCGCCTATGTAAGGGACGTTCTTCCCACCGACCGCCTATGTAAGGGACGTTCTTCCCACCGACCGCCTATGTAAGGGACGTTCTTCCCACCGACCGCCAATGTAAGGGACGTTCTTCCCACCGACCGCCAATGTAAGGGACGTTCTTCCCACCGACCGCCAATGTAAGGGACGTTCTTCCCACCGACCGCCAATGTAAGGGACGTTCTTCCCACCGACCGCCAATGTAAGGGACGTTCTTCCCACCGACCGCCAATGTAAGGGACGTTCTTCCCACTGATTACCAATGTAAAGGATGTTCTTCCCACTGATTACCAATGTAGGGGACGTTCTTCCCACTGACCACCAATGTAAGGGACGTTCTTCCCACTGATCACCAATGTAAGGGACATTCTTCCCACTGATGACCAATGTAAGGGACGTTCTTCCCACTGACCACCAATGTAAGGGACGTTCTTCCCACTGATCACCAATGTAGGGGACGTTCTTCCCACTGATCAGCACTGTAGGGGACGTTCTTCCCACTGATCAGCACTGTAGGGGACGTTCTTCCCACTGATCACCAATGTAAGGGATATTCTTCCCACCGATCACCAATGTAAGGGACATTCTTCCCACTGATCACCAATGTAAGGGACGTTCTTCCCACCGATCACCAATGTAAGGGACGTTCTTCCCACTGATCACCAATGTAGGGGACGTTCTTCCCACTGATCAGCACTGTAGGGGACGTTCTTCCCACTGATCAGCACTGTAGGGGACGTTCTTCCCACTGATCAGCACTGTAGGGGACGTTCTTCCCACTGATCACCAATGTAAGGGACATTCTTCCCACTGATCACCAATGTAAGGGACATTCTTCCCACCGATCACCAATGTAAGGGACATTCTTCTCAATGGACATCTATATATCGGGCACAATCTCCCCATTGAGCATTGTAAGGGGACACCCCCCCCCTTTCCCCAGATGAATGGGTGATATTGGGGTGCCCTAAGGTTGGGGTTCCCATGGGGTAGGCAGGTGATGAAGGCTGTCACAGAGGCTAGTCCCCGGTCTTCTCCACCCTCCATCACACCACATTCTAGTACAGTCACCCGGAGACTCACCGCTCCGCGGTCGGGCGCCCTCCCGCCGTCATTACTCACTTGCTCGGCCAGAATGTGCCGGTTGTGGGCGGCATTGTTCCGCAATAAAATGAAGGCGTCGGTCAGGCGGCGAGTGGCCATGTTCCTGGCCTGAGTTCCCCTCACCACCTCCCCCCTTCTACCCGCCGTTCACAGCCCCAGGCCCCGGCGCCTACACGCCCCGGAGCCGCCGGCACCGACACCACTCCGCATTCCAGGACTTCCGCCAGGAACATGCACCGGGGAAATCCGTCAACAACTTCCGCCAGAAACAGGGCGGGACTTCGAAAAGGAGACACAATATCCGCCCAGCTGAAGCATCACTCTGCTAGAGAAGAGGTCTTTGGGTCGGCAGACTTTTTTTTCGGAGACAACATTGGCGTCTATAAGGACGACGGAAAAATGGCCGCCAAAGATCATAGAAGGGTTTGAAGACGGCCTCTTTTATCAGACACCAAGCGGAACACACGCTGATCGGTTCCAGTTTTTACTGGCAGAATCAAGCAGCCAATACACAAGCAGTGTGAGCAAAGGGCAATGTGTAGAGAACAGTAACCAGGCTGTCTATAGGCCTTCCAGGGTGCGCACAGTACACAGTGTAGAGGCCTTCCGGGGCGCGCACAGTACGCAGTCTAGAGGCCTTCCGGGGCGCGCACAGTACGCAGTCTAGAGGCCTTCCGGGGCGCGCACAGGACGCAGTCTAGAGGCCTTCCGGGGCGCGCACAGTACGCAGTGTAGAGGCCTTCCGGGGCGTGCACAGTACGCAGTCTAGAGGCCTTCCAGGGAGCGCACAGTACGCATTCTAGAGGCCTTCCAGGGAGCGCACAGTACGCAGTGTAGAGGCCTTCCAGGGCGCGCACAGTACGCAGTCCAGAGGCCTTCCAGGGCGCGCAGAATACGCAGTCCAGAGGTCTTCCAGGGCGCGCACAGTACGCAGTCCAGAGGCCTTCCAGGGCGCGCACAGTACGCAGTCCAGAGGCCTTCCAGGGCGCGCACAGTACGCAGTCCAGAGGCCTTCCAGGGAGCGCACAGTACGCAGTCCAGAGGCCTTCCAGGGCGCGCAGAATACGCAGTCCAGAGGCCTTCCAGGGCGCGCACAGTACGCAGTCCAGAGGCCTTCCAGGGCGCGCACAGTACGCAGTCCAGAGGCCTTCCAGGGCGCGCACAGTACGCAGTCCAGAGGCCTTCCAGGGCGCGCACAGTACGCAGTCCAGAGGCCTTCCAGGGCGCGCACAGTACGCAGTCCAGAGGCCTTCCAGGGCGCGCACAGTACGCAGTCCAGAGGCCTTCCAGGGCGCGCACAGTACGCAGTCCAGATAACTTCCAGGGCGCGCACAGTACGCAGTCTAGAGACCTTCCAGGGCGCGCACAGTACACAGTCTAGATTCTAATGACATTCCCTGATAACTTGGAACTATAGAACACCCATGTGTTATATTCTGCACTGGATCCCCTTGGTTTGCTGTATTTGACACAAAGGGTGCTTGCCAGCCTGTACACGCCCTGGAAGGTCTCTAGCCTGTGCACGCCCTGTAATGTCTCGACTGTGTACTGTGGGAGGGGGCCAAAGGAGACTCTGTGGAAGGAGAGGCTTAGGAGACACTGTGGGAGAGGGTGATGTAAAGGGGGCAGAGGACACTGCATTGGGGGGTGATGTAAAGGGGGACAGAAGACACTACTGTGGAGGGGTGATGTTTGCTTTTTAAAGGGGCCACCTAGTAACCCCCACCCCAGGGGGTCTTTGCTTTACTCCATGTTGTCCAGGTAGAAAGGTTGCCAACCCCTGCTCTACTCTTTAATGCAGTTCTCAAACAGGAGAAATCGGCATTTCTGACACTAGGGGGCACTGCAAGGGAAAGGCTCCACCTTGTACCTCCTACTGTTGGGTGATTGTTGGGATACAGTAGATGATAGTTTCTGTCCTCTCTCAGACCTTAATTGACAGGTAAGAGGGTAAATCTGACAAATTAGTTTATAACATTTAAAACATCCCAGTAATGTTCTCCACCATCACAGCATAATGTTTAGCTATAGTCTGCTCAGTAAATTGAATTTCCTTTTCCTCCTCTCAGTAAAAATGGTGAGACCAACATCTCGAGCAGTGTTTCTCCACCGTGGTTCCACCAAGTTCTGCCCGTCCATCACAAGTAGAAGGCGGGTAGATCACATCCCCACATAGCTGCCAGTCAAGCTGCAGAGCCACAGACCAAAACAACTTGCACCACTGTCCTGCACCGATCCCAGCCGGCCCTCCCCTCCTGTCTGCCCCAGGTGCCTGTGTGTGACATCACTTGGGAGGGGACGAGAGAGGAGGGCGGGTGGCGATCAGCATGCCAGATATGATCCAAAAGCTTTCCTGAGCTACTCTGCATGAGGAAATCCACTACAGACCCAAGTATTGTGCCCCCCAGTACTCTTTCCTCCTGGCCCCCCTGTACTGTGCTGTTCTCTACTGTCCCTATACTGTTTCCTCCTGGCCCCTCTATACTATTCCCTCCTGGCCCCTCTATACTATTCCCTCCTGGCACCCTTATACTGTTCCCTCATGACTCTCCTATACTGTTCCCTTCTGCTCCCCCCATACTGTTCCCTCCTGGCCCTCCTATACTGTTTCCTCCCACCCCCCCCATACTGTTCCCTCCTGGCCCCCCTATACTGTTCCCTCATGACTCTCCTATACTGTTCCCTTCTGCTCCCCCCTATACTGTTCCCTCCTGGCCCCCTATACTGTTCTGTCCTGGCCCCTCTCTATACTGCTCTGTCCCCTCTCTATACTGCTCTGTCCTGGCCCCTCTATACTGTTCTGTCCTGGCCCCTCTCTATACTGTCTCCCCTGTCTGTCCTAGCCCCTCTATACTGCTCTGTCCTGGCCCCTCTATACTGTTCCCTCCTGGCCCCTCTATACTGTTCCCTCCTGGCCCCCCCTATACTGTTCCCTCCTGGCCCCTCTATACTATTCCCTCCTGGCTCCCTTATACTGTTCCCTCATGACTCTCCTATGCTATTCCCTTCTGCTCCCCCCCATACTGTTCCCTCCTGGCCCTCCTATACTGTTTCCTCCCACCCCCCCCCCGTACTGTTCCTTCCTGGCCCCTATACTGTTCTGGTCCTGGCCCCTCTCTATACTGCTCTGTCCTGGCCCCTCTCTATACTGCTCTGTCCTGGCCCTCTCTATACTGCTCTGTCCTGGCCCCTCTCTATACTGCTCTGTCCTGGCCCCTCTCTATACTGCTCTGTCCTGGCCCCTCTCTATACTGCTCTGTCCTGGCCCCTCAGTATACTGCTCTGTCCTGGCCCCTCAGTATACTGTTCTGTCCTGGCCCCTCAGTATACTGTTCTGTCCTGGCCCCTCAGTATACTGTTCTGTCCTGGCCCCTCAGTATACTGTTCTGTCCTGGCCCCTCAGTATACTGTTCCGTCCTGGCCCCTCAGTATACTGTTCCGTCCTGGCCCCTCAGTATACTGTTCCGTCCTGGCCCCTCAGTATACTGTTCCGTCCTGGCCCCTCACTATACTGTTCCGTCCTGGCCCCTATACTGTTATCTACTGCACCCCTGTCCTGGCCACCCTGTGCTGTGCTTATGCTAAAATTTTGACAAAACTGAGTTTCATAGAACATTTGGCTCATTACATGAAAGTAAGGTTAGTATAACTTAGATTACAAAATCTTCAGGTTAACTCAAATTAGTTGATGCAAAAATGAATACACCCCACAACAAAAACTACTACATCTAGTACATTTTGTATGACCTCCATGATTTGTAAGCTTAGCACTAGGTCTTCTAGGCACAGAATGAACAAGTTGGCGACATATTGCAACATCTATATTCTTCCATTCCTCAAGAAGGACCTTTTTTAGAGGATGAATGCTGGATGGAGAGTGATGCTCAACTTGTCTCTTCAGAATTCCCCATAGGTGTGCCATTGGGTTCACATCAGGAGACATACTTAGCCACGGAAATCACTTTCACCCTGTTCTTCTTCAGAAATGCAACAGTGGCCTTAGATGTGTGTTTTGGATTATTGTCATGTTGGAAAAGTGCACGACGACCAAGGGCACAGAGTGATGGTAGCATCTTCTCTTTCAATATAGAACAGTACATCTGTGAATTCATGATACCATCAATGAAATGCAGCTCCCCGACACCAGCAGCACTCATGCAGCCCCACAGGACACTGCCACCACCATGCATTTTTCTTTGAACTCCTCACCTTTGTAATGCCATACAGTTTTGAAAGAAATCAGTTCCAAAAAACATTTATCTTGGTCTCATCACTCCAGAGTACAGAGTCCCAGTAGTCTTCTTCTTTTTCAGCATGGACCCTGGCAAATCCTTATAGTAGGAAAAAATGCCAGTGAGTAGAGCGCCCCTGGGAAAGAAGTCCTCAGGAGAACAGTCTGCGGCTTAAAACATCATGTTTATTGACATTGTAGTAATTGACACACAGAGCACCCTCCACCTTATACATGTAAAAACAATGACAACATTGCCATGAGGTTAAAACGCCCGTAACGGGATCCCGGTCAGACCACACACAATCACCATATACTAAGCAGAAATACCAAAATGAAATAGCATAATACTAAAAAGGTTATAGAGACATGATCGTGGATGGTGAAAATGACTGACATATCATGGGGGGCCTATCCTTGGCAGGCTTTTTTGTGCATGGGCCTCAGGAGAGACTTCCTTCGCGAATGACACTCAAGCATGCAATCCTCTGCAGGATACGCCATATTGTGTCATGGGAAACAATCACTCCAGTTTGGCTTTCTACTTCTTTAGCTAACTGCAGTGAACTTGCATGGTGATTTTCTTCAACTCTTCTCAACAGGAGACGCTCCTGTTGAGGTGTTAACTTCCGTGGACAGCCTGGATGTCTCTGTGAGATGGTTGCAGTTCCATCTTTGTTAAATTTTTGTATCACTTTTGCTAAAGTATTCTGACTGAAATGTAAAGCTTTGCTGATCTTGTCAGGAATGGACTTGCCAATAATGGTGGGACTCACCTGCCTTGTGGGCTGCAGTACCAGGGCTGGCCAGCGGGTGCTCTCAGCAATCAGAGACTCAACCCTGCAGTCAGCCAAACACCTGAGGCTGA